TGACCAGTTTTCCCAGCACCACTTGTTAAAGAGGTTGTCTTTTTTCCATTGTATATCCTTGCCTCCTTTGTCGAAGATAAGGTGACCATAGGTTCGTGGATTTATCTCTGGGCTTTCTATTCTGTTCCATTGATCTATATTTCTGGAAAAGACTTATTTTAAAAGGCTAAACTGTTATGTCTAAGAAATAACAGAGGAATGCAAGCAGAAGAAAATTTGAAACAAAATTCTTAAAGCTTAAATGCTCTCTGATTCAAACTTTATTATGTTATAATATTCATAACTGTATGATACTAGCATAAAAACAGACATATAGAGCAAAAGAAAAGGAGAGCCCAGCAATGAATCCATGAATATTTGATCAATTAATTTAAAACAAAGAGTCCAAGAATATGCAATGAAGAATTCCCTGATGGCTCAGACGGTAAAGAATCTGCCTGCAATGCGGAAGACCTGGGTCTGATCCCTGGGTTGGAAAGATTCTCTAGAGAAGGGAACAGCTACCCACTCCAGTATTCTTGCCTGGAGAATTCCATGGACACAGGAGTCTGGCAGTCTACAGTCCATGGGGTCACAAAGAGTTGGACATGACTGAACAACTTTCACTTTCTTTCTTTCAGTAAATGGTGGTGGGAAAACTGAATAACCACACACAAAAGGGTCAAACTGGACTTTATCACACCATACTCAAAAATAAAATCAAAAATATACTTTAACTAAAGACTTAAATGTAAGATGTTCAACCACAAAAAATCTGGAAGAAAACATAGGCAATATACTCTTTGACATCACTCTTAGCAATATTTCAGGAGTATGTCTCCTCAAACAAGGGAAATAAAAGCAAAAGTAAACAAACAGGAATACCTCAAACTAAAAAGCTTCTGCACATCAAAGGACATTATCAACAAAACAAAAAGACAATTCAATGAATGAGAGAAGATATTTGCAAATGATATGTGATAAAAGGCTAATATCTAAAACATACAAAGAACTCAATAAACTCAACATCTAAAAAGAACAAACTCCCTCCAAAAAAAAAAAACAATTAAAAAAAAGGGCATAGGGCCTAAATAGACAGTTTTCCCAAAGAAGACACAGCAATGGCCAAAAGGTACATGAAAAGATGCCAAATAGCATTAATTATCAAAGAAATGCAAATCAACAATGAGATAGCCATCAGAATCAGTTCAGTTCAGTTCAGTTCAGTTCAGTCGCTCAGTCATGTCTGACTACAACCCCGTGGACTGCAGCATGCCAGGCTTCCCCATACATTACCAACCAACTCCCGGAGCTTACTCAAACTCAGGTCCATCAAGTCGGTGATGCCATCCAACCATCTCATTCTCTGTTGTCCCCTTCTCCTCCTGCCTTCAATCTTTCCCAGCATCAGGGTCTTTTCCAACGAGTCAGTTCTTCACATCANAGCAGGGTGACAATATACAGTCTTGACATACTCCTTTCCCGATTTGGAACCAGTCTGTTGTTCCATGTCCAGTTCTAACTGTTGCTTCCTGACCTGCATACCGGTTTCTCAAGTTGCAGGTAAGATGGTTTGGTAGTCCCATCTCTTGAAGAATTTTCCACAGTTTGGTGATTTACACAGTTAAAGGCTTTGACATAGTCAATAAAGCAGAAGTAGATGTTTTTCTGGAACTCTTTTGCTTTTTCTATGATCCATTGGATGCTGGCAGTTGGATCTCTGGTTCCTCTGACTTTTCTAAATCTAGCTTGAATATCCGGAAGTTCATAGTTCACATACTATTGAAGCCTGATTTGGAGAATTTAGAGCATTACTTTGCTAGCGTGTGAGATGAGTGCAATTGTGCAGTAGTTTGAGCATTCTTTGGCATTGCCTTTCTCTGGGTTTGGGATGAAAACTGACCTTTTCCAGTCCTGTGGCCACTGCTGAGTTTTCCAAATTTGCTGGCGTATTGAGTGTCAGCACTTTCACAGCATCATCTTTCAGGATTTGAAATAGCTCAATTGGCATTCCATCACCTCCACTAGCTTTGTTCATAGTGATGCTTCCTAAGGCCCACTTGACTTTGCATTCCAGGATGTCTGGCTTTAGGGGAGTGATCACACCATCGTGGTCATCTGGGTCATAAAGATCTTTTTTGTATAGTTCTTCTGTGTATTCTTGCCACCTCTTCTTAATATCTTCTGCTTCTGTTAGGTCAATAACATTTCTGTCCTTTATTGTGCCCATCTTTAGGCTATCACTAAAAGTGATATTGTGCTCATCTTTAGGCTATCACTAAAAGTAAATAAATAAAATAACAAGTTTCGGCAAGGATGTGAAGAAAAGGTTACCCTCATGTATTGTTAGTGGGATTGTAAATTGGTGTAGAATTATGGAGTTTCCTTAAAAATTTAAAAATAAAAATGCTGTATGATCCAGCAACTTTACTTCTAAGTAGTTACTCGAAGTAAACAAAAATACTAATTTGAAAAGTGTACCCCAATGTTCACTACAACACTGTTTACAATTGCCAAGACATGGAAGCAACCTAAGTGTTCATTTAATATATAGATATTAAACCTTTATTCATTTGTCTATTGATGTAGATGAATAATATATATATACTACATCTTCTTTATTCATTTATCTATTGATGAACACACACACATACACACATGGAATATTATTGAGCTTTTAAAAAAAATTGAAATCTTGCCACATGCAACATGAATAAACCTAGAGGATATTAAAAAAAAAAAAAGGCGCTCAGTCGTGTCCAACTCTTTGCGACCCCATGGACTGTAGTCTACCAGGCTCCTCCGTCCATGGGATTTTACAGGCAAGAATACTGGAGTGGGTTGCCATTTCCTTCTCCGGGAGATCTTCCCAACCCAGGGATTGAACCCGGGTCTCCAGCATTGTAGGCAGACTCTTTACCGTCTGAGCCACCAGGGAAGTCAAGAGGGTATTATGATAAGTGAAGTAAGCCAAACAAAGAAAGACAAATACTGCATGATCTCAGTTATTTGTAGAATGTAAAAACCCAAACAAAATAAAAACAGACTTGTAGATACAGAGAACAAATGAGTGATTACAAGAGGGGAGAGGGTGGAAGGCTGAGCCAAATAAGTGAAGGGAATTAAGAGGCACAGATTTCCAATTACAAAATAAATAAGTTATGCACATGCAATATACAGCATAAGAAATATGGTCATCAATGTTGTAATAACTGTGTATGGGGACAGATTTGTAATGGATGCAAATGTAAAATCACTATGGAGTACCTGAAATCAACATAATATTGTAAGTTAGCTATATTTCCATTTTTTTAAAAGACAAAAAAATGACACCAGAAAACAAAACACCTATTGAAACTTCTGAAAGTGCTTGATTCTTAGGGGAGGGAATTGGGGGTATAAAGAATTAAGTCATATGGTTAAATTTCATTATAGGCCAATAAAGTTTTTAATTTTAAAATATATATACATGTATTATAAAAACACAATTTTTAAATTTTTATATAATTATGCATTTTGCTGATAATGAAAAACTGTTAAAGAGCTATTTTCTCTTCCTCACAGAATAACACTAATTCTTATCTATGTTTGTATTTCAGTTACAACTAAAGAATCACCCAGGAGTAAGTTCCTTTCATATTTCTCATATCTAGTTGCTTGAAATCTTATTACTCTGTTACTTCTGGTCTTAAAATTTACTCTGGTAGAGAATCTTTAGAAGAACAATCTTCTTCCATACAAACTACACTTAGGCTTTTGTTTATGCTGGGGAAAGACCACACAACTTGCTACCCAGTTCCTTTTTCTTTTGTTATTTTCTTACTGTGGTATAACTGACATAGACCATTATATCAGTTGCAAGTGTACAACATAATGATTTGATACTTATATACTTCACAGTAAGTCTGGTTAACATTCCTCACCATGCATAGTTACAGAATTTTTTTCTTATGACAAAAATTTTTTAAATCTACTCTCTCATTATTAACTATAGTTGCCAAGCTATACACTATATCCCATGATTCATTTATTTTACAACTAGAAGTTTGTGCCTTTCAATGCCCTTCACCCATTTTGCCCAACTCCCACCCTCAACCTTTGGCAACCACCAATTTGTTCTTTGTGTCTACGCTCTACATCTTGGGTTTTGGGGTTTGTTGCTTTCTTTTTTTTACATTCCAACTTAAGTGAGATCATACAGTATTTGTCTTTGTCTAGCTTATTTCACTTGACATAATCCCCTCAAAATCCATCCATCTTTTTATGCTGAACAGTACTCCATTGTATACATACACCACATCTTCATCCATTTATCTGCTGATGGACACAAATTGTTTCTATATATTGACTGTTGTAAATAACAGTGCAATAGACATGGGGGTGCATATATCTATCAAGTTAGTTTTTTCATTTTCTTTGGATAAATACTCAGATGTGGAATTACTGAATCATATGGCAGTTCTATTTTTAACTTATTAAGGACCCTCCATACTGTTTTCCATAGTGGCTGCACCAATTTACATTTCCACCAACAGTCCACAAGCATTCCCTCTTCTTCGCATCCTTGCCTGTTTGATAATAGCCACTCTAACATTGAGGTGATATCTCATTGTGCTTTTGATTTGTATTTCCCTGTTACAGTTTCCTTTTTCACTTTCATCTCTCATGGCTTTAATCTAATGATGTGAAAGATATTTGCTTGCTCTGGCTTTTACCAGATCCAATTGTAAAACCATTTGTTAGAAAAGTATCACAGGAGATTTAGGAAGATGTAACAGTTCAAACACACTAGTTTTAACCACTCTAATGAAATCAGTGCTTTCTAAAAGCAAAGAAAGTGACAGTTAAGGCATTAAAATGGCATAAAATCCAAAGGACAAGCTTCTTTTAAAACAAAGAAAAAGGTTAATTACAAATACAAAGAGTTGTACAGTAAACAAAACCACCATAGCATTGTATAAGCCTTAACTGTGGATATAGGTTTGTAACAATGTAATCACTGAATATGTTATTTTAATCAAAAATTGTGACAAAATATATTGGAAGGATTGAAGAAGGGAACATGCATCGTAAGGGAAAGGAGAGAGAATATGAGAAATAAAGCCTGGTAAGCACTCAAAAATTAAAATGGACTATTATAAATCAAAAAATAACTCTATAAATATCTTATTTAGAAAAACAGATATAAAACACAAGAAAAAACAATCAAAGAATGTTAAAAGTAGTTCCTTCCAAGAAAGAAAAATAGGAATAAAGGGTGTAGGTCAGGATATTGTTGAGTTTTTTTCTTATGTTTATAAAATTATTTGAAGTTTTTAAGAATATATATGTATTACTTCTATAAGACTAAATTATAAACTTAAAATTATATTAATTTTAACCTATTGCACTTTTTAAAGGTTTAGAGAAAAGTCTAGTCTCTTCTTAGACCAAAAACATCTATATCTTTATTATATTTCAGTAGAAACAACAGATAAGATGGTTCCCAAATATATTTTGATCTTCCACAATGTCTGAGGGCTTTCACTTCTAAGCTTCCAAAAGTTTAATATTCATTCCTAGCACCTTATTTCTCAGAATTCTGCTATATTATTAAGTGAAGTGAAGGTGTCAGTCTCTGTCATGTCCGATTCTCTTTGCAGTTCCATGGACTGTAACTGGCCAGGTTCTTCTGTCCATAGAATTGTCCAGGCAAGAATACTGGAGTGGGTAGCCATTCACTTCTCTAGTGTATCTTCCTGACGTAGGGGCCAAACCCAGGTCTTCTGCATTGCAGGCAGCTTCTTTACCATCTGAGCCACCAGGGAAGCCCTTATATTATTAACATTTTCTTTAAAACATAATCATTTCTAATTAAACACAGTATGGAATAACATTAGTCTGGGAAAGGTTTTCTAGAGACTGTCAATATAAACTGATACTTGCCATTCAGAAAACAAAAGTGTGTAAAAAGGGAAAAAATCATAAAGGAGAAAAAAAACTTAGGGATAGGAAAGAGATGCTCAGCAGATGAAGAAAAGTGAAAGGGTATAATGAGTTCCATCTGTCTAGTCTCCCTGTAGTTCTTCCAAGTTAAGGATCACAGAACCCCACAACGGGATTGTTCAGAATTACTAAGGGCTTCCCAGGTGGCACTAGTGGTAAAGAACCCACCTGCCAATGCAAGAGACACAAGACCCCCTGAAGGGCACAACAACCCCCTCCAGTATTCTCACCTGGAGAATCCCATGGACAGAGGAGCCTGCTGGGCTACTCTGAAGCGACTTAGCAGGCATACACACCAATCTCTTACAATGTCATAATCACTCATTGAGAAGAAACAAGTTCTGTAAACATCCTTTTTTATGTTTCTATTGGAGAAATATTAGAGAAAATAGCTATTAATCTCAAAAATGCAATACTAAACTTTTAGAGCTAATTCATATGTATTTTTTTCTCTTTTAGAAATCTCTACAACTTGCAGTGAGTTGCTTATTTCTTTATCAATTTTGGTGTATTTCAGTCTTTTGAAACATATACAATGCATTCCACACTTAATCCTTTTCTGTTCTGGCTCTGATTTACCTGAGAAACATGCTTCTCTATTCCCTTTGGTTTCATAGTATATAAAAAAAAAATAGTGAGAAACAGGGATATACTGAATGCTTTAAGTTTAATTCACTGTGATGTTTTTTAATGATGGGCTAAAAAATGAAGTGAAAAACTGGAAGAAATTATACCCACTCTAGCATCCCTGAAGGTCCACCAAATCAATTATTCAGACATAGGGAAGAACTAGAACTATTCTTAAAGTCAAAGATGCTGCACCCTGTACATTTTATTACAACTGAGTAACTGTGAAGATGAGGCACTCCCTAAATGTTTATGCTTCCCATGCAAAGATTAGATAAGACATGGGTAACTGATGCAGAAAACCTAACCTTACTTATTTCTTTGACTTACTTTTAGATGTATCTTCATCTTTTGGTAAGTTTTCTAATTCTTAGATATGGTTTTCTCAGTGCCTTCTGGGAAATTTTTTGGAATTTTCTGTTTTCACTTCTGGGTAGATTCAAATTTAGACTCAGGTATTTTCACCTCTTTTATATAAGCAAAATTTCATTAGACTGCTTATAAATGTTTAGCAAATGAACAGAACCCACTAAAGAAAAAGAATGGAGAGTAAATCAGGAAGGATTAAAACAAAATTCAGGACCATGGTTAATTTAAGCAAAGAATGAAGAGGTGTAAGGGGGGCAAAATGTGCAATCAGATAGGACAAACAGGTATAGGAGCACCTGGATGGATAGTAGATGGATATTATTCTTTGAACTATACACAAATATATATAAACTCATATATATATATGCATGAAATATTTCCTAGTGAAGTATTTTCTTAATTCCAGAGACATAGGAAAAGATTAAATGTGCAATTTTATTACAATGATTATAGTAGCTCATCATCAAAAGCAGTAAATGCATTAATATGCATGAGGGACAATGAGAGTGGAAAGAAAAATAGAGGAGAAAAGAACAAGATTAGAAAGAAGACAAAGAAAGTAAGATTAAATAAAAGGTAATAAAAGCAGGTAAACAAAGATGGTATCCCTATAAAGAGAAGGATGGAAAGAGAGAAGAAACGGAAAGGATATGAATTGAGCATGGGCTTCCCTAGTTGCTCAGATGGTAAAGAATCTGCCTGCAGTGCAGGAGACCCAGGTTCAACCCTGGGTTGGGAAGATCCCCTGGAGAAAGGGATGGCAATCCACTCCAGTATCTTGCTGGGAGAATTCCATAGACAGAGGAACCTGGCGGGCTACAGTCCATAGGGTCACACAAAGTCAAACACAACTGAAGCAACCTAGCACGCATGCATGCCTGAACTAAAGCACACAACAGGAAAAGAGAACTTTGTATAGAGTATTTTCCTAAAACTCAATGTAATTCTATCACTTATCCTATTTAGAGGCAAGAAATCATGCATATTCAATAAAATATGTATTCAAATCCACACAGCTATTAAGCAAAACCAAGGCTGAAATCAAAGTGGATTTAAAATTCAAACTTTACTGTTTTTTTAATATTTCACCTTCACCCAGAACCGTCAGTCCCATATATAACTACCCTGTGATTAATGTTTATTCTTAGTAGTCTTCTATCCCTAAATAACTCATAGTTTTTATTTGCATGTATGTATATCTAATATCATCAATTATATCTCATTCTTTACTGTTAATAGCCTTAAAGATTCATGTTGCTATATGGACATCCCATACTTTACTTCTAGTTTTGTGAGGATTACAGAGAATATATCTCTCACATTTCCATTTTCCTGATAGTAGACACATCACTAATGTAATGTAGCAACTGATGTATATTAGTAGTAGCTCCTGAAAACCAGTAAGAAAAGGACAAAAAAAAATCCAATAGAAAAGTGATATCTCCACTACCTTCAATGCCCTAATGTCACAAAAACACTAATTGGACATCCTGATATGTGATATCTTGAGGACTTGAGTTCAAATTCCTTGAGAAATACGTTCAGCAAATGGATTTCTGGTCTACAGAATAGGCTAGATAATTTCCATAACTGCTGTACAATTTACATTCCCACCTGTGATCTGTGGCAGTCAACCTACTCCTATCAACATCTTGAATTATGCCACTTGCAAATTTTGCCACTCAGATGAAAGGAAGGTATATCAATGTTGCATTAATTTGCAATATTATCTCCATGGGTTTGAGCACTTCAATACATCCTTGCTAACCATTGTTTCCTTTTCATGAACTTGAATGCATATTGGTTGTCACTTTTCTATTGGATTTTTTGACTTCTTCTTACTGGTTTTCAGGTGCCACCACACAGCTCAGTTGCTACATTCCAGGTTTTAGGAATTGCAAATATCTTCTCCCACTCTGTCATTTACCTCTGAAATTCTGTCTATTGTGTGCTTCCTTGAACAGAAATTCTAAATTTTGATGTAATCAAATAACTCAGTTCAGTCAGTTCAGTTCACTTCAGTTGCTCAGTCATGTCCAACTCTTTGCGACCTCATGAACTGCAGCATGCCAGGCCTCCCTGACCATCACCAACTCCAAGAGTTTACTCAAACTCATGTCCATTGAGTCAGTGATGCAATCCACCCCATCTCATCCTCTGTCATCCTCTTCTCCTCCTGCCTTCAATATTTCCCAGCATCAGGGTCTTTTCCAATGAGTCAGTTATTTGCATCAGGTGGACAAAGTGTTGGAGTTTCAGCTTCAACATCAGTCCTTCCAATGACTATTCAGGACTAATTTCCTTTGGATGGACTGGTTGGCTCTTCTTGCAGTCCAGGGACTCTCAAGAGTCTTCTCCAACACCACAGTCCAAAAGCATCAATTCTTCAGCACTCAGCTTTCTTTATGGTCCAACTCTCACATACATACATGACTACTGGAAAAACCAAAGCTTTGACTGTATGGACCTTTGCCGGCAAGATAATGTCTCTGCTTTTGAATATGTTATTAGGTTTGTCATTGCTTTTCTTCCAAGGAGCAAATGTCTTTTAACTTTATGGCTGCAGTTATGATGTGCAGTGATTTTGGAGCCCAAAAAGATAAAGGCTGTCATTGTTTCCATTGTTTCCCCATTAATATGCCATGAAGTGATGGGACCAGATGCCATGATCTTCGTTTTTTGAATGTTGAGTTCTAAGCCAGCTTTTTCACTCTCCTCTTTCACTTTCATCAAGAGGCTCTTCAGTTCCTCTTTGTTTTCTGCCATAAGGGTGGTGTCATCTGCATATCTGAGGTAATTGATATTTCTCCCAGAAATCTTGAATCCAGCTTGTTCTTCAT